AGATCTCCGTTCAGTGCTACGTGTCACCAGACAGTCGTTCAGGTCTACCTGTTCACCAGACAGATCTCTGTTCAGTACTACCTGTCACCAGACAGATCTCTGTTCATTACTACCTGTCACCAGACAGATCTCCGTTCAGTACTACCTGTCACCAGACAGATCTCTGTTCAGGACTACCTGTCACCAGACAGATCTCCGTTCAGTACTACCTGTCACCAGACAGATCTCCGTTCAGTACTACCTGTCACCAGACAGATCTCTGTTCAGTACTACCTGTCACCAGACAGATCTCCGTTCAGTACTACCTGTCACCAGACAGATCTCCGTTCAGTGCTACCTGTCACCAGACAGATCTCTGTTCAGGACTACCTGTCGCCAGACAGGATCTCTGTTCAGTACTACCTGTCACCAGACAGATCTCTGTTCATTACTACCTGTCACCAGACAGATCTCTGTTCAGGACTACCTGTCACTAGACAGGATCTCTGTTCAGTACTACCTGTCACCAGACAGATCTCTGTTCAGGACTACCTGTCACCAGACAGGATCTCTGTTCAGTGCTACCTGTCACCAGACAGATCTCTGTTCATTACTACCTGTCACCAGACAGATCTCTGTTCAGTACTACCTGTCACCAGACAGATCTCTGTTCAGTGCTACCTGTCACCAGACAGATCTCTGTTGTTTTCGTGCCACGTGTCTGAACAAGCTCTTTATATGAAAGCAGGTTCACCAGAGTACCCACAGAGCCGTTCGACGCACAAGCAAATTCCACCTTTAGTCATCCCTGCTTAGTGCAGGGAGCTATTTCGACGTGTGCAATATGTATACAGGCAGGCATGGTTTATTATAATGTATGCTAATTGGTGGACACTTTTTGTTTTTGTCCAAATCATCGTGCCAAATCACGATGCCGTCCAAGCATGCACACATTCTTGTCATGGGTGTCTCGGTGGGAATTGAACCCCTAACCCTGGCCGTGTTAATGCCATACTCTACTCCAGTTGAGCTAGACAGGGAATTGAACCCCTAACCCTGGCCGTGGTAATGCCTTGCTTTACTCGGTTGAGCTAGACAGGGAATTGAACCTGTAACCCTGGCCATGTTAATGCCATACTCTACTCCAGTTGAGCTAGACAGGGAATTGAACCCCTAACCCTGGCCGTGGTAATGCCTTGCTTTACTCGGTTGAGCTAGACAGGGAATTGAACCTGTAACCCTGGCCATGTTAATGCCATACTCTACTCCAGTTGAGCTAGACGGGGAATTGAACTCCTAACCCTCGCCATGGTAATGCCTTGCTTTACTCAGTTGAGCTAGACGGGGAATTGAACCCGTAACCCTGGCCGTGGTAATGCCATGCTCTACTCCAGTTGAGCTAGACGGGGAATTGAACTCCTAACCCTCGCCATGGTAATGCCTTGCTTTACTCAGTTGAGCTAGACGGGGAATTGAAACCCTAACCCTGGCTGTGGTAATGCCATGCTCTACTCCAGTTGAGCTAGACAGGGAATTGAACCCCTAACCCTGGTGGTAATGCCTTGCTCGATCCTATAACATCCTACAGCGTGCTATTCGTTTGTCTTCTGACTTACCGTACTGAACTAATGTTAACTCATGTTTGTTTGTGTTCCTCTTTCCAGGCGAGAGTGTGTGACCTCCACCGTGAGTTTGTAAACTCCCTGCCCCCCCGCCACAGAAGTACCAAGACCAGGCCAGCATGCCCCTCCCTCCCCCCCCCCCCCCGGGGCCTCCCCCTCCTCCCACCTTCAGCCAGGTCAGTGCTCCCCTTTTTCAACGTGTGTGTGAATATCATTTTAATCTTTAAAATGTCATGGCAATTATAAATTCACATGCAATCTGGGTTCTATATACTTTGGATGGATGATGTATTCTGATTACTATTCAGTCATTTAGCAGAGCCTTTAGCCCATGTGACACAGAGGGAAGTGTTAAAATGAACAGGTAGGCATCTGGCTCCAGGAGGCTTACAGGTATACTGCAGACATGGTCCAAAATGAACACCTGCCACCAGCCAATGGCAGCTAGATTTGACCATTTTGGCAGGTAAATAAAAATCAGGGTTACATTTAGAACAAATGCTTGGCTGGTAGAGTTTTCCACTCTGGGGAGGTGAAAAGACACAATTCGAAAAGTTGATTTTGGACCCTGACTGCAGACGTTGGGGCTCCGAACCCAGAACCTCTCGGCTGGGATTCAAACGCCCTGACCGCTAGACCCACCTGATGATGGTGTTGGGTTCTGCTTGTAGGCAAACACGACCGCGCCCAAGTTGAATCGTGATGAAGCGAAGGACAGAGGAGCTCTGCTCACAGACATCTGTAAAGGAGCCCGGCTGAAGAAGACCACCGTCAACGACCGCAGCGCACCCATCATAGAGAGTGAGTTATATTACACTGTAGCACCCGTCGTTGAGAGTGAGTTATATTACACTGTAGCACCCATCATAGAGAGTGAGTTATATTACACTGTAGCACCCGTCATAGAGAGTGAGTTATATTACACTGTAGCACCCGTCATAGAGAGTGAGTTATATTACACTGTAGCACCCGTCATAGAGAGTGAGTTATATTACACTGTAGCACCCGTCATAGAGAGTGAGTTATATTACACTGTAGCACCCGTCGTTGAGAGTGAGTTATATTACACTGTAGCACCCATCATAGAGAGTGAGTTATATTACACTGTAGCACCCGTCATAGAGAATGAGTTATATTACACTGTAGCACCCGTCATAGAGAATGAGTTATATTACACTGTAGCACCCGTCATAGAGAATGAGTTATATTACACTGTAGCACCCGTCGTTGAGAGTGAGTAATATTATACTGTAGCACCCGTCATAGAGAGTGAGTTATATTACACTGTAGCACCCGTCGTTGAGAGTGAGTTATATTACACTGTAGCACCCATCATAGAGAGTGAGTTATATTACACTGTAGCACCCGTCATAGAGAATGAGTTATATTACACTGTAGCACCCATAGAGAGTGAGTTATATTACACTGTAGCACCCGTCATAGAGAGTGAGTTATATTACACTGTAGCACCCGTCATAGAGAGTGAGTTATATTACACTGTAGCACCCGTCGTTGAGAGTGAGTTATATTACACTGTAGCACCCATCATAGAGAGTGAGTTATATTACACTGTAGCACCCGTCATAGAGAATGAGTTATATTACACTGTAGCACCCGTCATAGAGAATGAGTTATATTACACTGTAGCACCCGTCGTTGAGAGTGAGTTATATTACACTGTAGCACCCGTCATAGAGAGTGAGTTATATTACACTGTAGCACCCGTCGTTGAGAGTGAGTTATATTACACTGTAGCACCCGTCATAGAGAGTGAGTTATATTACACTGTAGCACCCGTCATAGAGAGTGAGTTATATTACACTGTAGCACCCGTCATAGAGAGTGAGTTATATTACACTGTAGCACCCGTCGTTGAGAGTGAGTTATATTACACTGTAGCACCCATCATAGAGAGTGAGTTATATTACACTGTAGCACCCATAGAGAGTGAGTTATATTACACTGTAGCACCCATCATAGAGAGTGAGTTATATTACACTGTAGCACCCATCATAGAGAGTGAGTTATATTACACTGTAGCACCCGTCATAGAGAATGAGTTATATTACACTGTAGCACCCATAGAGAGTGAGTTATATTACACTGTAGCACCCATCATAGAGAGTGAGTTATATTACACTGTAGCACCCATCATAGAGAGTGAGTTATATTACACTGTAGCACCCGTCGTTGAGAGTGAGTTATATTACACTGTAGCACCCGTCATAGAGAATGAGTTATATTACACTGTAGCACCCATAGAGAGTGAGTTATATTACACTGTAGCACCCATCATAGAGAGTGAGTTATATTACACTGTAGCACCCATAGAGAGTGAGTTATATTACACTGTAGCACCCATCATAGAGAGTGAGTTATATTACACTGTAGCACCCATCATAGAGAGTGAGTTATATTACACTGTAGCACCCGTCATAGAGAGTGAGTTATATTACACTGTAGCACCCGTCGTTGAGAGTGAGTTATATTACACTGTAGCACCCATCATAGAGAGTGAGTTATATTACACTGTAGCACCCGTCATAGAGAGTGAGTTATATTACACTGTAGCACCCGTCGTTGAGAGTGAGTTATATTACACTGTAGCACCCGTCATAGAGAGTGAGTTATATTACACTGTAGCACCCGTCATAGAGAGTGAGTTATATTACACTGTAGCACCCGTCATAGAGAGTGAGTTATATTACACTGTAGCACCCGTCATAGAGAGTGAGTTATATTACACTGTAGCACCCGTCGTTGAGAGTGAGTTATATTACACTGTAGCACCCGTCATAGAGAGTGAGTTATATTACACTGTAGCACCCGTCATAGAGAGTGAGTTATATTACACTGTAGCACCCGTCGTTGAGAGTGAGTTATATTACACTGTAGCACCCATCATAGAGAGTGAGTTATATTACACTGTAGCACCCGTCATAGAGAGTGAGTTATATTACACTGTAGCACCCGTCGTTGAGAGTGAGTTATATTACACTGTAGCGCCCATCATAGAGAGTGAGTTATATTACACTGTAGCACCCATAGAGTGAGTTATATTACACTGTAGCGCCCGTCGTAGAGAGTGAGTTATATTACACTATAGCACCCATCATAAAGAGTGAGTTATATTACACTGTAGCACCCATAGAGTGAGTTATATTACACTGTAGCGCCCATAGAGTGAGTTATATTACACTGTAGCGCCCGTCGTAGAGAGTGAGTTATATTACACTGTAGCACCCATAGAGTGAGTTATATTACACTGTAGCGCCCGTCGTAGAGAGTGAGTTATATTACACTGTAGCACCCATCATAGAGAGTGAGTTATATTACACTGTAGCAGCCATAGAGAGTGAGTTACCGTATTGGTCCGAATATAAGACGACCCTGATTATAAGACGACCCCCCCCCCTTTTTCAAGACTCATTTTTGGAAAAAGAGAAGACCAAATCATCTTTTAAATAAAATCATATTTTCATTATATTTTTGATGAAATTGTCACATTTAAATACAATTAAATGTAATCACATTTGTAAATGAACGACTTATAGTATTTAAATACCATAAAAATGAAAATAAACTAGTCTATTGGTACCCGTATTTTCCGCACTATAGGGCGCACTGGATTATAAGGCGCACCGTCAATGAATGTCTATTTTCGAACTTTTTTCATATATAAAGCGCACCGGACTATAAGGCGCATTAAGCGAAACAAAACAGTCAGATAAGTCAGTCAGTCAAACTTTATTGAACACGTTCACAATAACTCTCAACATTGTTCAAATGTTAATGAGCGTATTCACAATAACTCCCAACATTGTTCAGTTGTAACACGTAAAAAGAACACAGTCTGATATCGCTAAATCAAACGTTAGCGTATTCAGTTTGAAGTCCGCGTCGTAAGCGTGTCTCTTGACGCCATTTTGGGGTCTTTATACACACACTTTAATATTATGGTGAAGCACGTGTATTACTCCGCGACGCTCCTGACTACGGTAGCCATAACAACCAGAATTAATCCATATATAAGGCGCTTCGGATTGTAAGGCGCACTGTCGTTTTTTGAGAAAATTAAAGGCTTTTAAGTGCACCTAGTATAGTGGCGGAAAATACGGTATTTCTAATACCAATTAGGCCATCCATCTCATAGAGACATAACAACCATGTAACCTTCAAAATGTAAATAATTGCATTAACCATCGACGTGAAGTCTAATTGTAGAACAGCGCCAACTGTTGTTGTGAATGTATATTGACATTTAAAGTCTAGACCCCGAATATAAGACGACCCCACTTTTTCAGACGTATTTCCAGGAAAAATACCCCGTCTTATATTCGGACCAATACGGTATATTACACTGTAGCACCCATAGAGTGAGTTATATTACACTGTAGCACCCGTCATAGAG